GACCCACAAGAGTGTCCTACAAGAATGTGCAATAAGAGTGTCCCGTAAGAGTGTCCCACAAGAGTGTCCTACAAGAGTGTCCCACAAGAGAGTGTCCTACAAGAGTGTCCCGTAAGAGTGTCTCACAAGAGTGTCCCACAAGAGTGTCCCGCAACCGTGTCCCACAAGAGTGTCCCACAAGTGTGTCCCACAAGAGTGTCCGACAAGAGTGTCCCACAAGAGTGACCCACAAGAGTGTCCTACAAGAATGTGCAACAAGGGTGTCCCGTAAGAGTGTCCCACAAGAGTGTCCTACAAGAGTGTCCCACAAGAGTGTCCTATAAGAGTGTCCCACAAGAGTGTCCCACAAGAGTGCCCTACAAGAGTGTCCCACAAGAGTGTCCTACAAGAGTGTCCCACAAGAGTGTCCTACAAGAGTATCCCACAAGAGTTTCCTAGAAGAGTGTCCCACAAGAGTTTCCTACTAGAGTGTCCCACAAGAGTGTCCCGCGTGTCCCACAAGAGTGTCCTACAAGAGTGTCCCACAAGAGTGTCCCGTATGAGTGTCCCACAAGAGTGTCCCACAAGTGTGTCCCACAAGAGTGTCCGACAAGAGTGTCCCATAAGAGTGACCCACAAGAGTGTCCTACAAGAGTGTGCAACAAGAGTGTCCCGTAAGGGTGTCCCACAAGAGTTTCCTACAAGAGTGTCCCACAAGAGTGTCCTACAAGAGTGTCCCGTAAGAGTGTCTCACAAGAGTGTCCCACAAGAGTGTCCCGCAACCGTGTCCCACAAGAGTGTCTCACAAGAGTTAAGAGTGTCCCACAAGAGTGTCCCGCAAGAGTGTCCCAAATGAGTGTCCCACAGGAGTGTCCCACAAGAGTGACCCACAAGAGTGTCCCACAAGAGTGTCCCACAAGAGTGTCCCACAAGAGTGTCCTACAAGAGTGTCATTTGGACATATGTAGCTTTTCGAACGTGTTTGCATTCGGGTTCGTGGGCTCCATCTTGTTTTGTCCACAGTTTTAGTCATAGATTGTGTTTCCTTACTTTCCTTCAAACCCAAAAAAGAAGTGGCCACAGTTTTAGTCATTAGATTTTGTTTCCTCAATTCTCCTCCCTCACCAAATTTTTCGTCCACAGCTTTAGTCATTAGATTTTGTTTTCAACTCTCCTCACCAAATTTTTTGTCCACAGGTTTAGTCATTAGATTTTGTTTCCTTACTGTCCTTCACCCAAAAAATATGTGGTGTCTTTTCCTCTTCCTTTGCCTTGTGCCCTTCCTTTTCCTCGTCCGTTTCTTTTTCCTTTTTTCCTTTTCTCTGACTCTTGCTTTTCCTCTTCTCTTTTCCGTTTCCTGTTCCCTTTTTGTTCCTTTTCCTTTTTCCTTTTCCTTTTCCTTTGCCTCTTTCTCTTCCTTTTCCTTGTCCTTGTCCTTTTCCGGTTCCTCTTCCTTTTTCTTTTCCTCTTCCTTTCCCTGTCCAGGGAAATTAAGGAAGCAACTTCTAATGACTAAAGCTGTGGACAATAAAACTTGGTGAGGGAAGTTAAGGGAAAAGTCAATGACTAAAACGGTGGACAAAACATTGGGAAAAAAGGAAACACAATTACATGCTTATATAAAACCGTGGACAAAATTTTTTGGGTGAGGAGAGTTGAGGAAACAACGTCTAATGACTAAAATTGTGGACAATTTTTGGCGAAGAGAGTTGAGGAAACACAATCTAATGACTAAAACTGTGACAAAGTTTTTTAATTCAGGAAAATAAGGGTTTTTACAAAAAATGCAATCCCATCACATTTGATCAAATTTGATCAAAACCATGGTTTTGATCTGATTTGATCAAATTTGATCAGGTTTGATCAGATTTGACCAGGTTACAAAATTTTGTAAAAACACAGAAAGCCAGTAGAATAGATAGATAATCAACAAACCAAATCAAACCATTTTGTTGTTTCCGGTTCCTCTTTCTCGACCTTTTCCTTTTTTATGTTTATTTTTTACAGTTCCTTTTCCTCTTCCTTTTCCTCTTCCTCTTCCTGTTCCTCTTCCTTTTCCTAAAAAACACTCATAACAAAATGAGGACGACAATGAAATGCTGACTTTCAAACACAGTAAATTAAAGCATTACTTGTCAGATCTTTTAATGAACATCACGTTCAGAAACAAAAGTGACAAATACACTTTTTGCATTTTCAAAGCATTTGAAATCACTTTTTGCGCTTTTAAAGCAAAAAAGTGCACGAATAAGATTTTATAAGCTTCAAAAAGGATTTTAAATGATTCAAAAGTGATTCAATGTGATGTTTGTTCTCCTGTAAACAAGGGTCACCTGGAGAGGGGTAGCGCCTTGGAGTCTCCACTTTGAGTTGGGGGTATCACTGGAGATGTCCAGTGACGTACTTGCGTTAAGACTTTCATTACCCAATGGGTCCCTACAACAAGCTACTGGCCGTTGCATCGATTTGTGTCTGCACTCGTCGATCGAGGCTGTCGAGTCGCTGGCTTTCCATTTGACTAGGTTGATCGGACCGCCTTACATACCACCTAGTTTTACCTAGGCCATATTTTCGCTTGGGCCTCTTCAGGACTTGGGGCGATCAGTTCAGCGCGTTATCTTGAGTGCGTCTGGCTTCTCGCCAGCCCAGGGTGTGCCCGAGGAGTGCCTCTTGTGGCCCCGTCGAACGGGGGTTTGTCCGGAGGTTTAAGCCAAAGTTATTTGCCAAGACTTGATGGATGCTTTCGGGCGCGCCATTTGGCGACCGTAACGGTCCAAGCGCCTGCCATTTTGGCATGGCACAAGGTGACCAGAGCGGTCAAAGCTTCTTTAAGGTCCATTGAGACCTGTTGGGGCCTTAGGTGTACATACATCGTGTACAATGTTAACGGGGTCAGGTACACCTCGGTTTTCTCAATGAGGTTTGGCTGGCTTAGTTGGTTTTCGACCCTCCCGTCTGGTTTCCCCTTTCATCTTCTTTCCCCTTTACATACTTCGTTTCTTCCCCTTTCTTTTCATACCCTTCTGCCTTCATGTCATGGCATCTTACTCCTTGTCTCTCTTGCGCGCTCATCTGTCCGGCCCTTCGTGCATGCGCGCACTTTTACTTAAACCCAGGCTTGAGGTCGCCTAGGTTTTACAAGGGAATTGGGTTCATCGGTTGTCCCTGGTCACTTGTTGTCTTTTCATTGCAACCACATGGACATACACCTGGTCTGTCTTGTCCTCCTTTCACGTCGTCATTCATTTGTCTTTGTTTGTGCGCACACATGCAACCGGAGGCGTGTGTGTGTGAAACCCTTGGAGTCACAGGGATTCCTTTGAATTTTGCTCTTCTTTAAGAGGGGAGTGGAGCAGGCCTGCAGAGCTCCACTTAACCAAGCTCTCTGCAGTGTTATGCGGATACCACTGGAGACGTCCAGTGACCAGCGACGTACTTGCGTTAAGACTTTCATTACCCATTTGGTTTTCCTTCTGACTAGGTTGATCGGACGGCCTTACATACCACCTAGTTTTACCTAGGCCATTTTTTAACTTAGTAAGGCCTCTTCACGGCTTGGGGCGATCAGTTCAGCATGCATTATCTTTAGTGAGTGGGCAATAAGTGTGTCACTTCCTGTCTCCAAGGAAAAAGACCACAGCAGTCTAATTCAGAGGTCTAACTAATCACTGCGATACCTTGTACAGTCAGCAGGGGGCCGGAGCCAAGTGGGTCTCCGGCCAACGGAGACACGCCCCACCTGGGCGTAAACGTACCTGCACGTTTTCCTTAAATCAAATGATGTACACAATGTTGTTTCGGACCTATTCACCTTGCCGTTACCTCTCAGGGCTGCTTCTCAGGTTTCAGGCAGCGCTCTAAGCAGGTAATGTAGAGTGGAACTTCCAAACAGGTTTAGCTCTTGTGAGCATGGATCTAAGTGTGCGCCGCAGCATCGCCCCACTGTGGTGTGCTGTGTGATCCCTTCGGGGCGCTTTGAGCATAGACCCTTAAGGGGGATTTTTCACAGGCTACTCGTCTTGCGCGATCAACACTGGATTCTCGTCCTTTCTCGAGATTGCTGCTCAAATGCCGCTGGGCTCGCTGGAAACTTCCCAGAATGACACGCCATGCGGCTAATGTATTCACTGTACTGTTTGCCACGTCATGCAGCTAGGTATTCACTCGCGCGGCTAAGTATTCACTTTATTGCTTTCTCAACTCAATCAATTCGTTGCATTTCTTTCCAGACGACCCAGCTGCTGCCGCCTCCTCTGAGACACTTCCTGAAGCTGAAGT